TATACTTAAAGCTCATTTCAATTAGTGTTTGCTATAATACACATTCTGGCCAAGCAAGCACTCCACTAGGCAGTATTCAAAATATGACTAAATGCATCCATGTTTTCTAAGTGAGTTTCCAATCCTACCAACTAACAAACTAAACTTATAAAGAAATGATACTGGCCTAACTCTTTTCCCTCACTAAGAAAGATTAAGCTTACAAGCCCTTTTTTTCAGCTTTTTAGAGTCAAACACAGGAGCAGAAATAGTTGAGATCAGGCTTAGACGATGGATGACAGGGTATTTGTTTCTGTCTTTGGGCATTCTATTATTAGACTTAGAAAGATCTGTGTAAGAGAGCCAAGAGAAAATGTGAGAGGGCAGTTTTGGACAAAACACCGGGGTTGCTGCGAGCTGCTGTATTCATAATAATAAGCTCATGATCCCCCAGAAGATTTATCTTAAGTTTGCTTGCCAGTTGAAATGAAAATAAATGAAAGAGAATCTAAACTTGGATATGTTATTTCTGCTGTATGTACCAAACTAATGGAATGATTCCCCAACATAGGCTGGATCCTGGATCCGGGTTTTGCCAGAAACATCAATCTCAGCTCAACAATGAAAGCAACCAGAAGTTGCCAGTTGCAGCTTACAATCACTCAGTAGCAGATATATAAGACATAAGGTTCCCCATCATTTGATCGATCCCTAAAATAAGGAAGTGTTTGTGTGTTATGAGCCCAGCTAGATGAGTATCTTAATTGACAAGCCTGAGTTTAATGGCCGCTCGATTTCAGCTGCTACTTTAAGCTGCACTTAAAATGTGATAAGATATTTATAGACCAATTATACCTTCTCACACCCACACTTTTGCACACATGTAGGTGCAGAAGCCATCAGAGCGGATGCAGACTGACTCACTTTTAGGATGAGGTATAACTTTCAGTAAGACAAGTGTTATTATGTTCTTAAAGTAGATCTTAGGACAGTTTGGACCAAGTGATGAAGTTAATGGACTTAAACTATGAGCAAGCATACAAGTGTCTGTAGTACTTTTGTCCTGCATCACACAGAGGCAATCAGAATCAATCCAGTCTAACAGGACGTGGAAGTATAAAATGACTTTCTCAATCTACTTTGTTTCACTGCAGAGCATATTAACAATCAAGAACCTCTTAAATATATATTATGAATTTACCAAGGGAAGAAATCTTGTGAGCCAACCTACAATAACAAATAAAGGAGCTTAAGTACAGGCAGAACATTCAGTTAGCTGCCATTGCTGAGTGCATTTCACATTGATTGAAGTACTTTGATTCAAATCTTGAACACCCAACACACAAGAGCAATCAAACGCTCACAATTGGGGGATGATTCATTCAGTTTTTTGGTTCAAGAAGTTGCAATATTTGAAAAACTGGAAATGATGTTCCTCTTTTCAAAGCTTTTTAAAAATATTTGTTAATTGCTAAGTGCATATAGCACAAAAACCAATGCTATACACAATAACATTCATAGACTAAGCTTATTAGCATTGACTTTCCCTAGATGGACTTGTAACACACATAAAGCTCAATAAGAAATGTACAAGGGACTATATGAAAAATAAACTTAACCAGTGGTTCTCAACAGGTGGTTTGGGACCTCAAATTGGGTTGCAAATGTGTGTCTGGAAGAAAAATGCTGTCAAAGAGTCTATGAAGTGCTTTTTTAAACAAGTTTGTTTCATTCAGTTTCTTTGTTTTTGCTTTCACTCTTTGTACCGTCTGAGGTCCAAATTGAACAATTTTGTCTTTAAATGAATCAGATTGATTGAAAAAATGTTTTTAAAAATGTGTTTGCCACATATCAACCTAGAAGCAGGTGAAGAATGTTTGAAATAAAATTTAAAAAGTTTAAAAATCCATCCTCAAATCAAGAAACGGCTGATTCAGACCCTGCTAGTGTCATTCAAGACTTCAGTTTAACACCCTCATAATCTTATGAATGTGTGACGGTCCTCTGCACCTGAGTGTTTGTGGGTCCTGAGGCTCAACCAGTTGAGAACCACTGACCTAAACAACAGTTAATGATGTAGGGTCAGTGTAGTAAACATTACTAGAAGACAGTAAGGACAAAGACAGGAGACAATCAGTGAAACGAGTTTCATCTCAAAGTATCAGCTGGACTGAATCTATGTAATGTATTCTAAAACATCAAAAATATTAAACTGAAAATAGAGGGAACAGGTACAAGGAGAGAGAGGGGTGCCATGCAGGAGAGAGACAAGTTAAACTGATGCAGAAAGAAGCAGTCTATGAGGACGTGGAATAACTAATAAAAAATTGGGACTCCTAAAGCATGTCATGATATTAGATATTCAATATCCTCTCCAGCCCTCTGCTCCTTTTTTCCCCTTCCTTTTGTCCCCTGCAATTTCTTTCTTGTGTAGAAAACCCAGCCATTTTCCCTTTCTCCTGTTGTCAGGATGGATGTTGCTAACGCTGCAGACCTGTCAGTCATTCATCTCTAGGGGAGGCGGGCTCATTGCAGCGGTTTGGGGGAAGTCACTGAGCGGAATAGTTGATTGGCAGGATGGAGAGGGAGAGGAGACAGTGGGGTGGAATACTTGGAAAGTGGAGCAGATGAGCGCAGAGCAGAGGAGGATATGGAGCGTAAACAGTCTCTTTAGGAGGAACAAACAAAGACCGCCTGCATGAGAGAGAGAGAGAGAGAGAGAGAGAGAGGCTGTGCATGGACTGATGTTTTCCTGAATATTCAGTTCAGAAAATAAAAAGGGACACGATTGTACAGAACAGGACAGTGGTTGCTGGCGTAATGTAAGCAGACAAACCAACACCAAAAGATGTGTTGAACAGATGTGAAAGAAGCGTGCTTGATGATGGATAGATATAAGCAGTTACATTATGAAACAGCATGCAGTTAAAAGCAGTGGTGCATTGTGACTGCCGGCTCAAATTCAATTGTGTTGTCTTGGAGTCTTGGAGAGGATGGGCAGTTTCTATTTCATAATGCATAATTTGCAGCGACTAAATATGGGAGAACATTCATGTCAAATGCGTAGGCTAGGTTTTCTTTTCATAAGTTGGCAGATATTATCAAAATCTCATCTGCTCTCTGTTCCTGAATAATTCAGTGTGATTTTTTTGCTCAGGAGGACGAAGAGGTAGCTCAAGTTTTCTGTGACTTTTATGATTAGCAGGCGGCTTAAAACAAGCAGGAGTGAGTTGAACTGTAAGAATAAGCTGTTCTAAGATATGCAAAGAGTAGCACTTGTTCTGCCATTCTGCTTGTAGTTGAAACTGGTCATTAGGACAGTTCAAAGACCAGGAACAGTGTGTCCAGCTCTTGTGACTCAGTTTCAAAGAGCTAGAGGAAATTAGTCTTCAGGAAGTCAACTTTCTGGCCTTTTGGTTAGAAACCAGTGGCCCCGCCCACTCAGGAAGTTGTTTTTAGATGCACTGTAACGGATTGTCATTGCAGGAGTTTAACTGATCGCAAGGAAAACCGACAGACTTTCCAAAACCAGGTCAAACTTTGGGAAGCAGATCTTTACTTGAAATGGATTGCAGAATCTTGTTTTTAGGTGTTTCTTAGCCCGTGTCTGCTGCTGTCTTTGCCTTAGAGAACCCTGCAAGTGAACAGGATGGGAGGAGAGGGGGTGATTGATTGTGTGGAGAAAGGAGGGGGGGGGGGTTGAAGGAGGTGTGTCCCAAGGCCCTGACACACCAAGCAAACAGCAAATTTCGCTACAACATGTGGAATCGGCCAAAAAAAGGCCGATGGGTAGCGAAAAACTAGGGCGACGACCGCTCACCGATGGTCCAACTAGGACAGACGATCTCTTTGGTGTGTCAGGGACTTTAGAGGGCATTGTTTTGATCTGAGTAAGCCTTTAAAGTAATGAACCTCAAGCGACTGGATATTTTGGGGGTGTGGGGTATAATTGGTCAATGTTTAAGATCTGACTCAAAGAAATCCACTATATACCATTTTGGGCATCAGAGGCCAATACTGATACCGATATTGTATCAGAACAGCTCTATTTAGCAGGGTATGTTTATCTCTATGTGTCAATAATTTCAGGTTTGATGACTTGCTACAAACCCATACTATTTTAACAGCACTTTTTTGTGGTTAAAGCTTGGTGTCCTGAGGGCTGGCCATGAAACTGAAATCAAGCACACTTTGCCTGTATCACTAGGGAAGCAAGTGATGCAAAAAGCAAAATGGTGTGATCAAGGAGTGGGCCAGATTTCAGGACATCATGAAGATAATTTGCAGAAGCAGTGTCGTCCGATACGTTGGCACTGATCAGGATGTCGATGTGAAAAGAGAGGTGGTTCAGCTGTTTTCTTGGTAATACAAGGCAGGTGTTGCAGGGAGAGCTCTGAGAACAGGTTGTACAGATGGAGAGAACTGTGCATAATCATACTTTGCAACAAGGCTGATTGAAGTTGTTGCCAAACGTTGGTTTTTTGTCCCAATGAGGCTGGAAATTGCTATCAGTTAGAAGAGCTGAAAGTGAAATGCAATAAAGGTGAGATCAGCAGAGGTGGGAGATGTGGCCAGAAGTAGTTAAAATGATCTGTGGTGTAAATATACACATTACATTAAAAGACTATATAGTGCAGACAGGTGTGTTTTTTCGTTGAAATGCCAAAGGAGTGTCCAGGGAGATGCATGATCGGAGCCCATTTGATCATTAATTTGTTTCTCTTTTAACAAACCCTTTTTCAGTCCAGGAGTCATGCAAGGACGATTGTTTGTTAAATGTCTCCAAAATGTCCAAGACCTTATAATGAAGATTTTACCAGTGTAAAGATACAGTGAAATTTCCATTCCAGTGCTTTATGCATTGCATTATAACCCTTGTCTATACGGGTGCAATACCCTGACTGAGTCTGGCTGTAGCTGTAAAGCAGGGCTTACCTGAAATGTTACACATTGGTGTATAGCCAGCCCACCTTGCAAGATGACTGTGCCTTATCCGTGACAGTATGCAACTCTCTCCAAAGGTGCCAAAGAGGTGAATGCAAGTGGGAAGACATTCACGGTACGGAGCTCTCTGCAGCTGCACGTGGACAGAAATGATGATGGAGTGGCCTACACCTGCAAAGTGGACCATGTGGCTCTCACACAGACACCGCAGCAGGCCACTGAAGTACTGGAGGTCCACTGTGAGTGTCACACACACACACACACACACACACACACACACAAAGAAATGCACACTCTCAGATATATACACGTGGATTTTACACGTGGACATGAGGGGGAAGGATGTATACATATAGGAAGTTCCTGTATGAGCTTTTTAAAGTATGGCTTCAGAATCAACATATCAGCTAATCAGCTTAATAAGACCTTTATTCTATTCTAGAGTCTCCATTACTCCATATTTTACAGTTTTTTAATACACTGAGACTTGAATTATATCTCAAAAAACACCAAGGATCTCTCTGACGTACAGTATGACTCTGATCTAAAAAAGCACAAACGGATGTATTTAAGCATGAAGCTAAAGGAGTCTAGCAAAAACTCCTCGACTAAGTGCTGAAACTGCTCAGTTTGTTTTAAGGTCTTTCATGACCGTGACTTGTCAACAAACCATTTAAAAAGTGTTTTTTGTGTGTAATCTGATGTCTAGATGTATTCCTATCCAAAAGGCAGGTCAAATTAAATCTTTCATGAGTCAAGGAAGTGTTCCTTTCTTTACATTTTCTAAAATATAAATAGGTCAAGGAACATTCAATATGATGAACACATTCATGTCTTGTGTCTATTGAACAATTTGATTGTGAATACTGGCTCAAGGTCCTCATGGGATTCTACTCATGTAAACGTATTCAGTATGAAGTACTCCATGTCCTTTTATCTGTCCTAGATGCTCCTCGTGTGGAGATCGTCAACTCTCTTGCTGTCCCTCAGGAGGGTCAGTACTTAAAGCTGGAGTGTGTCTCCAAAGGAAACCCTTCGTAAGTCACTCTAATTCTCTATCAGTACATGTCAGCCTATTTTTTTTTTTTTATAACGCTTCAGACAGAAGCATGTTGTATAACTTGTTTCTCTTTCAAATCCTTTGTCCTGCCAGGCCGGATCCTGTGAAGTGGACAAAGGACGGGGCTGAACTTCCTGACCTGGACAGGATGATTGTAGAGGGGAGGGAGCTCACCTTTACTTCACTCAACAAGACAGACAATGGCACCTACCGCTGTGAAGCCGGCAACCACCTAGGGACCAGCAGTGCTGAATATGTACTCTACGTCTATGGTGAGTTCAGAGGACAGGCTGATGTAAAGTTAATTACATGTTTCATGTGTCTTGTGATAATGGCTAAAGATAAGGGCAGCACGCTGAGTGGAAAATATATACTGTACATCTTTTAGGCTTGATTTTGAATTTCTCAAAAAGAGGTTGTATCTCCGAAAGTCACAGTATACAACTCAAATTAAATGTGCTACCCTGAAAAAACAAAAAAGCTACTGGCTGGATATTTCAACACAGACCAGTATGTTAATCTGAATTTAGGTACCGCCTCTGCCCGGGCAGTAATACTATTAGAGATTAAGTTAATGGGTTGACAACTGGATTGGCCAATCATATGGAGGGGGGCCAATGCAAGCCCATGCCAAACCCTGGACAAGCACCTGAATAGAGGACCTGTAGCAGGAAAACTAAGCTGTAATACGATGTCTCAAATAATGCTACACAAATACACAGAGTATTATTCTTCATTCCTCAGCCCAAACAAGGATTACAATACCTCCAGATCTGCATAGTGCATCAATGCTTAGAGTGATTAGTGGTAGCGTCTATCACAGAGAGAATAAGAGCCTCAGGTGACACAAATGCCACCAACGCCTTTCCTTAAATAAACCTGCGTCCCAGTTCCTACACACATGAACACAAACGCACACACAAGCACACTGCAGAGAAGAAATGTGTGAGGGAGGCAGAATTTAGTGCTGCGTTGTCAGGAGTATCACCAGGAAGGATAAGTAATTCCTAGCAACGCCAGAGGAGGTGGAGCATAAAGGGACTCAGTGTGAAGGAAAACAGATAGTGTCTCCAATGTCATTTGTCTTTTGGCATTAAGTAATAGAGCTTTAAAAAATGAGCAGTGACACGTCTCCTTCCCCCTCTATTCTAGGAACTAAGTTAGCATGTGATGAGGGATGAAAAGGAAGGTAGTTTTTTTTTTGGCTGGAGAGGCCATACGACTGAAGGCAAAGGAAAATTCCCCTAAGTGGATCAATAGAATATGACATTATTATTACTACATGCACCTGAGGGGTCCCGTTTTAAACAGCGGTTGAAAAACATTAGAGAATAAAGCTCTCAGGTGCCGATGGCTTTGGTTTAGCAGAGCTGGAGTGATTTCTAGTATGTTCTTGACTGTCCTTGGTGGGTCTACAGTAATAACCAGATGTGGAGCTGATGAAGGATGCGACCAAGGTTACTATCAATAGTTCATGAAGTGCTTTCTGCTTATCGAAGTCCAGGCCAGCACATGGAAAACTCTAGAGTGAAGGACATGCTACGAATGCTATCGGAGGAAATGCATTTACCATTAGTGGAAGGAAAGCCTACAGGAAGTAATATTTGATTATTTAATGAGATATGGGTGCCTTGCTCACATCTAGACACTCCAGATAAAACACTTGCTTTTAGTTTTACCTGGTCTACACCGTAGAGCACTCTGTATCTTGTTTTTGAAAAGGGTTACATAAATAGAGCTATTTTTATTGTTATCATCACCTCGCTTAACTTTCCCCCGATGCTGCAGTGTGTGCACCAAAAATTCCTTCAAATGCCAGCTGAATGTTCCCACAAGAATAACCAATGATCTAAATGAGGGTGATGTTATTAAACTGACAAATTCTTTGCCACAAAATGGCAATTGGGTATTTGAGGGTCAAAGAACCCCATCCAGATTCATTACTTGTTCTTTTGAAATGGCACTCAGTCTGTTCCCACCCTTCATTAGTGATTAGCACACCTTTTACCTTTATACAATTGCGGCCGTAAAATACCTTTTAAATGGCTCTCCACAGACGGCGAGACATTTTCCCCTCTCCTCTTTCCTGAAGACATGTACTTAGCTGCTTAGTAATTCACGCAGAGGCTGAAATGTCACCAAGACGACCGGCCCTGAGAAGGAGTACCACGGCCAATTAAAAGCCTCTAGCTCACTGTAAAAACCAGCGTGACTGAACATTACAGCGGAGGTGGTTGTGTAACCTCATTAACTTTGTCACACAATGTTTCATTCCCATTTTTCTGTGCCTCTAACATGTGACAGTCAGAAACGTAGCCTTTCAGAAGTTTAGGACAGACCTAGCTAACATGAATAATTAGAACACATAATTTGTCCTAATTCTTTTTTTTTGATCCAACTTTTTTTTCACAATTTTTTGGGGGGTTAAAAGGTTCCTATTGTGCAAGAACTCTTTGCAGACATCGACCAGTAATAACTGAGGTTAACCATCTTCTCTTACTACAATAATGATTCTCACATTCAGAAGCAGAACATCTTAAATCATAATGTTAAGGGAAATACAGAGCAATAAGACTCTTGTTTCAATGTAAGGAAGTCCACTTTTTCACTCTTACAATTTTAACACATAAAAGAACAAATTTACTTTGCTCAAGATATAGCTGCTGGCTACTCTCACCCATGTGAAAAATAGTCAACATCTAATTCTTTATTTTCCCTAATGAACTTATTATTGAAATGGAGCTCTATTGTTCTTAGGAATCAATGCTTAAGGGTTTAATACAGAAGATGTGTTACAAATTTAGCTTAGTAAAAATTGTGTCTCTTCCCATGATTCCTCTGAAAAATGACCCAAAGAGAATCAGTTAAGTCAGTCATATGCGAGACCATAACTACGCAGCTACACAATTAAAAATGATGAACACCAATTAGAGTTGATGATTTCAAAGTAAATTAATTCAAACATTTACTTTACAATAAAAAAAAAAACTGAATATGTATGAGTTAGGAGTGTCCATTGACGGCTAGTCCCATTTTTCATACAAAACCAAAGTTGTCCAGCATTTTCAGGGCTCAGCCTCCTTAGCCCAAAAATTCCCTCACCATCAGCTTTCTTCAAGATTTATTTGTGGTCTTCTTACCTTTATTGGATAGGACAGCAGACAGAGTAGGAAACCAGGTGAGAGAGTGGGGGATCAAATGCAGGAAAGGAGAAACAGGCCAGTTTTTGTCCAAGTGTTCACTGTTGAAAATAGTTAAGACTTCTGAAACACTGCCGCACCCGTCAATGTCACCTCTCATTCACCAACAAATCAAAATAAAAAGGTTAAAGGAGCGTGACTTCTGATAACAACTTTGTCAACAACAATGGCGGTGGAGAAACTCATCTGGAAGTTCTTTTTCAGGGTACAGTTTACAGGTCTGGACAGGATTCCATTACCTTGTTTTATGTTTAATAAAATAATAATAAATATTAAGAACATGGAGATATTTTAAACAAACCTAATGGACACTACTGAGGGAAGCAGAAGACAACTTTTGTACCCTAGCAACAATAATTGCCGATGAGAAGCACTCTGAAACTGAGGTTGTGGGTGCTGCCAGCACAAAAAGCACCATTAGTGGACAAAGGTCCTTATCCTTTAAATTATAATTATTGCACTAGTGACCCAGAAAAAGGTTTAGCAGTGCTTGAATTAATGCATATTACACAATATGCATTATTTTGCATTAACAGCAATTCATAATTTCATTGTAGAACACCATTGACAATTTTGTGTTAATGGTTTCATCCATGTCATAATATTCCTTTTTTTCTTTTAACATCACTTTATCATGTTTTGACCATTGTGTTGTTGTATTTTTTTGTGCATATGTGTCTGTTTGTCTGTCCCTTCCACCAGACGTCCCCACAACCCTACCTCCATCCACCACTCCCCACTTACATCCCATCCCTCCAGAACCTACCGCTCTATTAGGCACCCACGACTCAGACCCCACAGTCACTGGCAACAGAGGTACAGTACCAACCCACACATCTCCACAGCCCCCTCAGCAGGCTACTGTATATTCCCTCTTACTTCCCTCTGTCCTATTACTTCCCTCTCAGCTATTTCACTGTCTCAAGCTTCAGGATTCGTGTCTCTTGTTCCTCTGACAAAATTCTTCATTTTTTCTGATACTTTCCTTGATCTATCTTTTAATTTCTTCCTACTCTTTCAGGACTCTAAACATAAACTGTTTTCACTTTCCAATGGACTATGCCATTATATTTCCATGAAGGACGTAACTCAGATTTCCAGAGCCTCTAAGACAATCTTGGTTATTTTATTCAAAACGAGCCTTGCTGTTCAAATACTCCGTCCACTGTACCCTTGGCATTTCAAAGACTTCAGTACTTCTGTGCCTTGAAACCTCAAAGAAGCAAATGTCATGTCCAACTGAAAATGTCTGGCCACTGGAGACGTACCATCATGACTCCTAATGCTGCATGAAATCTTAGAGAATTCTGACTTGAAAAGCTCCTTTTTAGAGGGTTAACATAGCATTTTTGGTGTTCTTAGAGGACCTATTTCTGAGGAGTATGACTACCGTTGATATAATCCTTTATAGCATTATGATATTAAATATGAATACTGTGTCATCTACCGTTTGATAAAATAAAAGTTATGGAGGCATAAAATGCTTAGATTTTCTCACATTTCCACAGAGGCTTACAGCATGAGAAGAACTACAGCCAAGAATTTCTATTTTATAATCAGTCACATTTGGGCGTCCAAGGCTAATGCCAGCCACTCAATGCTATTTGTCTGGGTACTACCTGCCTAACAGTAATGTTAATTTTCCCTGCAAAAAAAATGACATTTTGACATGCCATTCCTCAGGGTTGGTATTTTAACATTTGGGCCATTCCTTCAGGTAGTTGTACCCAGAAGGTCACTGGTGCCTGTCATGGCAGCAACCCAAGAACCTACTGTTTGTCCCAAGAAAGATGTTCTCAAAAGGGTAGAGGTACTGCTGACTTTAATGAGGGTATTGCTGGGTGATAAAATGAACACTCTGAGGAATTTGTGAATCCTGCCAACACAGTAGAGGCAGAAGACTTAAATGAAAGAGAAGCCTTGCCCTTACTTCTGTTGTAGATCATTTTTGGTGTCACCACACCAGATACCAGGCCAATTTCCAGACTTGGTCCACACCAGGACTTTACAGGCAATCATAAGTTCCCAACCCAAGTCCCTACTGACTGAGCCACTGTTGCCCCAATGTGCTATTTCCAACTTTTTATGAGGGTATTGATAAGATACCCAGTAGAACTTGCGCCAGTGTCCTGAACAGAAGACTCTACAAAACTTAAATTAACCAAGAGGACCAATGCAGCTTTTATTGTTTTCTTACCTTAAAAAGGAAGAGTTCTTAGAATAACAAACATCCAGCCATGCATGGACATTTTTGTGTTTGAAAAGTCTAAGAGCAGTCAGCGTCTAATTCTGTTTGGGTGTTACCATGAGTGGGTATGTCATCGTTTTTAGTAATCCAGTCTTTTATAGTTGAATTGAAAGTTGTCACTGTTGTCTTTACTATTTTTAGCACACTATCAATGTGAACTTGTTTGTGCAAATGTTTGTCACCAGTTCTTTTTGAATAATTGCAGTGTCAGGTTTGGTAACCAATTCTATAGATCTGTTGTTCTAAGTAAAACATTGCATTCCATTTACTGATCTGATTTCCTCAAACTATCCTCAATGGTCACCATTTCCATCTCCTTAATTGGCAGATTTGATCATCATTTGTGGAGTCTATGTTGCATCAAAAGGAATGCATTTAGCTTCTTAGAGGAATCCTTCCTAAGACAAGTGTTCCAAGATGTCCAACTGAGCTGGCTCCATATTTAAAGAAGCCTGCTGAGTTGTGTTAGGAATCTGACCAAGATGCCTACTGGTAGCCTCTCTATGGAGGCTCTTTGGCACATCAACACGCTAGAGGGATGCCATACCCCACCTGACTTTTTAGAGCCATAGGATCATTAAGAAGGAAACAACTTGGGGAAAGGATCTTTTAGCTTCACTTTGACCCAGATAAGGGAAAGTAAAACAGATAGATTTAATGCATTTCACCTGAAAAGGGGGCCCACCTAGCCTATATGTATCCAAAGGATATCTGTAAAATGTACTTTTTTAAAGCCTTGAAGAGGGATGCAAACATTCCACACAAAGACTTGATTAGTTAGCAAAAAAAAAGTTAAAATCGATTTAGCCAAAACTACCATTCTTTAGTTGGGTTGAAGTTTCTCTAGTGATACCCCCTTCTGGCATGCTGACACTTAAACAATATTGCCGACATAACTCAATGTCTGCTACAGTAAAGCGATATGTCAATCAAAGTTTTTGAGTGGCATGCCAATTTAAAACTATTGTGCTGTGATATGCTGTATATGCAAAATAGTTTTTCTCACTCATATATCATTGTTATCATAGTTTCTCAAAGTTGTAATACGTATATAAATTAAACCTTTTCAAGACAACAGTTTCTTGTATATTTTTTACTCAAGTTAGACTCATTAAAACTGTCCAGTCATTAAAAAAAACTAGACAAAAAGTGATTTTAATATGAAAGATTCAAGTCTCTTCTCTTTATTCTCTTCTCTTTATCCTAAAATCTTTGAATAATCCCTCCAATTTTCAGCAGATTTTTTCCTTTTTTTTCCATTTGTGTCTATTCAGTTGGTATACACAGCTTACACTCTGTCTCTGCTTTTTATTTCCTCTCTCCATTCCCCTCAGCTTCATGCTGCTTCACAATCCCATTCATTCAGAATAATGTCCTCTCATCACAGCTACTTTCTCGAAATTACCATCTTTTAAGTCCTTCAGGAGTCTTGACTTTCCTTCTACCTCTCCTCTGCTGCCGTCAAAGCTTTTGTTTCAATTTCCCGTCACCCGCTCGTTCTCTTCTCCCCTCACATCCCTCTGAAGACCCTTTTAGATAACGGGCTTCCACACGTTGTTGCATATTCCTCATCAGTGTGTCTCAATTCTTCTCTGATGTCTGTTTGTGTAGTGTAGAGACACAAGAGGAGCGAGGCCTCTCGGTGTATCTTCATGGAATCTAAATATCAGACTCCTTCACTGCGTCCCCAGTCACAGGATACTACACTATCTGCTTTCATGTGTCTGCTTGATTTATTACCAGGTCTTTTCACAGACTGTGGATAAAAGCAAACAACTGTGGAGCTGAACCAGCCCTATGATGTTTCGCCTTTTTAATAAAGTCGTCTTTATGTATAGTATTATACAACGTTAATAATGGCAAATAATTATAATAGAGCAATGATTTTAGAGAATGCTTTTATACATCTGTGTGGAAATTAATGTGTTGATGCCATTAAAATAACACTTTTGAATAAATTTTGATATAACAAAAATGCCTTAATTGTTGTTATTTTTGACATCAGTGCATAAAGTCATTTAAGCGATTAGTAAATCAAGAAAATCACATGTTTGTATATAAGTGGCATTTGATATCAATTATTTGTTAGTTTATTCTGTGATACGATATGAAACGATGCGATATGATGGGTCTACTTTGACTTTTAGAGTAAGTCGTATGGTATAATTTGAGGCGACACTTGCAAGCTAGTTCAGGCAGTCAACCGGAGCTGCACTGATTTCACACTTGACATGCCTCATTCTCATCAATCACCTGACAACACCTCCTTCCAATTAGTGGTCTATTTAAGCAGCAAGATCCCCGGGCTCTTTCATTGCCAACCCTGACCTGTACCAGTACTGCCACTACTACTCATGCTCAGGCCACCACCACCCCAGCATCCATCTGTAAGCTCCGACTGGAGGGTTCCAGATATCGTCCCATCACCATCACCCCACCACACCAAGCACAAACTACGTTCTGCTGCAGTAAATATTTTATACGATACAAACGTGAGTTGTCTGACTAAAATAACCTTACAATTAGTTTGGGAAGAAACCCAGGTGTATCATTATAACATAATCTTTATTTCTCATTGTAAAATGGTTAATGATGACTCCAGCCATATTAAGCCCCATACTGGACATCAGAAATTGTTAGTGCACTACTGGTAATCTTAAAACAGCTGTAAAATGTTCTTTCTGAAACATGTTTTAGTTGAACGTTTTGTTCCAGATAGGTGTGGTATTTTTGTGATTTTTAGATGCGACAAACTAGACTTTAATTCACCCACAAGAAATCTTCCCTCACGGTCCAAGAGTGAAAGAGAAACAGCATTTGCATGACCGGTGTAAATTGGCCACAGAGTTGGAAAAAAAACCCAGCACCCATCTTTCTCTATGCACATAGCAATAAGCTGCTCTCATCTCTTACTTTATGTTGTCTTTTGCTGACACAGTGACAGAAAGTATTAGCAGCCGATACAATAATGTTCCATTTAATGGGAGCTTTTACTCGAGGCAGAGAGTCTATGGTTATTACTGACTGAATATTTCATATTGTAGAGTCAGCGAATGTTTGAGGGAATGTAAATTTCAAAGTAACCCATGCCTTTAATTCTAACTGTTGTTGACCTTTGGAGTGTAGCTGGTGCAAAGGTGTGCAAAATAAAAATCTGAATCCTTTATTTTTTTATTCATAGTGTGGAATGATGAGACTAATGCATACTTGCAGTCTGTGATTCACTTTATTAATGAAGTGCTGGCAGGTATGCAGAACACCCACACTGCTTCAATAGCCCAGCCAGCCTTAATGGCTATAATAACTCTTTCACTAAGTATCAGAGGTCTATGCAATGTCATCAGACCCCCCTTTCCCAAACACACACACATGAGCCCCCCACTAAACCACCGCCACTGAGTTCTCTCAAATTTGCCAAATGCTTCTTTCATGGCTTGCAAATTAGCTTTGACCTTGCAAGGCTGAAAGGTTGAATACAGCACACAGGTTTTCTTTGGCGTTTAAAATATTTACTATTTTCATAATCAGCATTCGTGTGGCCAACCCAAGCCTCTGGCCTGATAGTGCC